CGCCCGAAACGTCAGCCTCTCTGCTCCTATGATGCTGCTTGGCCTGCTGTGTTCGTCCAGCCCTGCACCTTGTTGTCTCAGATTCACCAGCATCTGCAGTTCCTACTATCTCGGGTCCATAATCAGATCAACCACAATGAATTGTGGAGCAGGCTCTGAGACTGAATGGCCAACTTCTGCATTATCTTTTATTCTTAGGGAGAAATGTAGGTTTCAATAAAAATTTGTAAATTTAGATTTCACTGTTCAATTGTCAACATAAAAATAGTTAAGCATTTAGTGACACATTTGCAACTCACTTGGCTTTGCTATTGTCAAGACTATCAACATACCAAAATATTAGAATGACTTCTCCTAATAGGAGTGCACACACTTGCTGAGGGCTTCTGCTTTTTTTATTTCCGTTTTCAGCGCTTGCAAGTTTGAAACATTTTTTACTCAACTTGTTTGGACATGACACACTCCCATGGCCATTATGTCCTGAGCTAGGACTTTCTTTTATTCTTTCATGGTATTTGGGTGTCAGTGGCCTGGCCAGCAAGTATTTTCCATCTATATTTGCCCTTGAGAAGATGTTGGTGCGCTGTCTTGAACTGCTACTAGGGAGGGAGTTCCAAGATTTTGACTCAGCAACATTGAAGGAATGATAATGTATTTTCACGGCATGATGGTAAGTAGGTTGGAGGAGAACTTGCTGGCAACAGTGTACCCATGTATCTGCAGCTCTGTCTTTCTAGAGAGAATTTGTTGTGCTTTTGGTATGTGATGTCTAAAGAGCCTTGGTGAATTTCTGCCGTGCAACCTGGGGACAGACAAACTGCTGACACTGGGACTTAGTGGTGAAGGGAGTGAATGTTTGTGGATGTCATGCCGTCAAGCAGGCTGTTTTATCCTAGATGGTGTCAAGCTTCTTGAGTGTTGTTGTAGATGGAGCAACATATCCAGGCACATGGAGAATATTTTGTCACACTCTTGACTTATGCCTTGTACGTGGTGATAAGGCTTTGGTCAATGGTTACCCCTACGGTGTTGATCATTGGGTATTCAGAGATAATAATAAACTTGGAACAGGACCTCCTGGCCCAGGAGTCGTGACATTGTCACTCAGCCATCTTTTAATGTCAACATCTATGGTGTAAGAAGTAAGATCTACATAGTCACAGAGAGTGATCTGAATTGCAAAACAGTTTCATCAAATTGTCATATTTATTTTGAAGAATGTAAGTTTAAACACAAGTCCCTTTTTATTGTTGTTGTTTGCTGTATTTAATTGATTATTTATTCTGTTCATTTTCTTTATCCCGTCCATTTTTAAATCACTCTATTGCCTCACCTATCCCTTTCTCTATATTTCCTCTGACCCACAACTCTCTGAAATATCTGTTGTCCACTGTTTCTGGCTTTCTGTGCAATTGTAAGTATAACTGCTCTTCTTTGACCAAACTTTGGTCATCTGTCCAAATATCTCCTTTATGTGGCTTAGTGTCAAACTTTGTTTTAAAATATGCTTGAGAAGTGTTTTGGAATATTTCATTGCATTAAAAATACTACATAAATATTTGCTGTTCTATATTAAAAGAAATTCTTTCATTTATCCAGTGCCTTTCAAAATCCTGGATTCCCAAAGTATTTTAAAATGTGTAATTTCCCTTAGACAAAAGAAAATATCTGAAAAGGCAACAGTACATTCAATGGAATCGAGAAATCTGTGTCAATGTTTTGGGTTGAAATTATTCCCTTGTAAAATATGAACGATAAGTGACAAGCATTTTAACTGAATTTGTAAAGGCAGAGCAGGAGAAACAAATATAAGTTTCAATAGACAATAAAGAAAATAGGGAATTGTATTTGCCTGAAATGATCTGAATCAGAATAGGCATGAGACAGAATAAAGAAACCAAGAACACTTAACAGAAGGAGTGAGAGGGACAAATTGAAGACAAAAAGGAAGAACCTAAATATCTGAAGTACCTTTCCTGACTTCGGGATGTTCCAAATTAATTCATAAAATAAAAGAGAGACTTGGATTAGCATAGCACCTCTCACAATCTCACGAACTCCAAGCTGCTGTACAGCCAAAGAAATGGACATGTTAGAAGCTTTTGCAATATAGGAAAAGTGTAATTGTACACAGCAGACTTTACAACACAAGGATATAAGAAATAGGGCAGAAAGAGACTATTCAACCCATCAAGCCTGCTCCATCATTCAATATGATCATGGCTGTTCTTGAACTTCAGCTCCACTTTCCAAATGCTCCACAAATAGCAGTGAATGACCTGACTGGATAATCTACCTTTCTAGTGATGTTGGTGAAGATTAAAGATAAACTTTCCAACATTCCTCTGTTTTTCCACTAGTGCTGTAGGATCTTTTACATCCGCCAGTCAGCGAGCCCCTCAGTTTAACACCCCATCTCAAAGATAGCACTTCTAACAGTGCAAAACTCTTACAGTTCTGTATTGAAGGGTCAGTTTAGGTTAGATGCCCCGATATTTGGAATGAGACTTCAACTGCTTAGGCATTGCACAAGTTTCTTGCAGGGGTCTTATGGCTGGGGCAAGTCTTCACTCAAAAAAGCTTCACATCATGCCTAAAATTATGTAAAGATACTCCTTGTACAATGCAAACATATGAAATAGGAATAAAAATAGTCCACTTGGCTCCTCAGGCCTGCTCCCCCATTTAATAAGATCATGGCTGAGGACAAATGCTCACTTTACTTACTCTTTTACTTTTTAACTACCTGTAGTGAATCTTGCTATCCATTTCAAGCTAACTTCTTTGCATACACAGATTTCTTCCTCTTGATTAGCCTTTTTGGTCACGCTGTGTCATTCTTTACATTCTGACCAATTATCTGACCTGCTAGTCATGTTTGTGCATTAGGTCTGCTCACCCCAGAAACAGAACAAGATTCAAACCCTCCTGTTAAGACTGAGCATGCCCACTTCAAAAACTTTAACCCACAGTTAAATGTATGCCATAAATGCTTTTGAAGGGCAGATAGGGGCTGTAAAAGTGTTGTTATCTGAAGTTTCTTTTCTTTAGGGAAGGTAAATGCCATCCTTACCTGGTCTGGCCTACCTGTCGTTAAGATCGACAGCGATGTGGTTGATTCTTAAATGCCTTTGTAAATGGCCTAGCAAGCCATACAGTCGTATGAACCTCTCAAAAGAGAAAAAAAGAATGAAACCAGGAAGACCACCTCGTATCAAGTAATGCACTGGGAGTGGCAATGGCAAGCATAGCCTTGTTAATCCTGCAAAGTCCTCTTTAATAACATCTGAGGGCTAGTGCCAAACTTGGGTGAGCTGTCTCACAGACTAGTGCAACAGTAGCCTGATGTAGACATTCTCACAGAATTGTGCCTTACACACAATGTACTGAACAACACCATCACTATGAATAGTCCTAGCACAGAGGGAGTGCAGCAAAGATTAATTAGATTGATTCCTGGGGTGGCAGGTTTGTTTTATGAGGAGAGATTGGGTTGACTGGTATCCACTGGTGTTTAGAAGAATGAGAACAATCTCATTGAAACAGAAAATCTCTTACATGACTGGACAGACTGAATGTAGGTTGGGTTGATGTTTTTCATGGTCAGGGCTGTCCAGAAGTAGGTGTCATGGTCTTAGGATTTGCATTTAGACTGAGATGGGGAGAAACCTCTCCACTGAAAGGGTGGTGAACCTGTGGAATTCTCTACCACAGACCACTGTAGAGGCCAAGTTGCTGAATATGTTAAAGAAAGAAATAGGTTTTGAGAGACTAAAATTGTTAAAGTGTCTGTGGAGACAGCGAGTATACTGTTGAGATAGAGGATCAGCCGTGATCATGTTCAATGGTGGAGCAGGGTCAAAGGGTCAAAAGGCTTACTGCTGCCCTTATTTTTGATGTTTCTATGAGGAGATGAGAGCATTGGCATGGGGGTATGAAATTTTCTAAATTGAACTATCCACCTCAATAGCAGAATTCCAGCCTTGTGTACCTGTGTACCTGTGCCGCACTGGAGTGCGGTTCCAGAATTTTGATGTTGATGTTTTCTGTACTGATGCTGACTGGGTTTCTAAGAGTTCTGGCATTTGTTTCAGACTTGTAGCCTTTGCAGTTTATTGTTTTTATTATTTATCCTTTGAATTTAATTTTCTAATTGTTACTTCAGCAGCAAAAAAAAAACAAACCCCAAATGCTCACAAAATGTTGCACTGGTATTAATCATACTGATATACACATCATGCAAACAGTAATTTGGTTCCCTTCTAGAATAGTTCATACCATCTGAAAAACTACTAACAGAGTCTTCAAGTGGTTACAATTATTTATTTTACATTCCCAAATTATACAGTGGTAATAGTAATAATAGGTTTGATGTCACTGAAGGTGCTTTGTGACTTCATTGAATAGGCTCTGGCTTCAAAACCATTCCTGAGACTTTTTTGTTGGCACAAGTTTGGGATGACCTCTGTTGTGGCAGTTTTGATTGGTGATTCAGTGGTATGTGAACCATTATGATTGATACGTATGGGAAAGATGCTAATTTCCTCAGCTTAAGGTTTAATACGTATGTCAGAGATCCCCAACCAGGTAGGCTGGTCACTCTGGTTTCTTGTCTAACCACCTTTCTGCCTGTCGGGAAAGCAGATTGATTGAGCAAATGGCAAATTGGAGTTGAGTTGCTGATAGTGCCAACGATTGTGAAAATATACAACAGGATATAGATAGGTTGGCAACTTGGGCTCAGAAATGGCAGATGGCGTTTAATCCAGACAAATACAGGTGATGCATTTTGGAGGATCAAATTTAGGTGTGAATTATATTGTAAATGGCAGAACCTTAGCAACACTAACATTAAGAAGGATCTGGGTGTGCAGGTTCACAGTTCCCTGAAAGTGGCAACACAGGTAACCAAGGTGATTAAGCAGGCATATGGCATATGCTTGCCTTCATCTCCCAGGACGTGGAGTACAAGAGTTGGCAAAACATGTTGCAGCTATATAAAACCCTTGTTAGGCCACGTTTGGAGTATTGTGTGCAGTTTTGGTCACCACACTACCAGAAGGATGTGGAAGCTTTGGAAAGAGTACAGAGAAGGTTCACCAGGATGTTGCCTGGTCTCCAGGGCATTGATTACAAGGAAAGGTTAAAAACACTAGGATTGTTTTCACTGGAATGACGACGGCTGAGGGGAGACCTGATAGAGGGCTACAAAATTATGAGAGACATAGATAGGGTGGAAGTCAGAGGCTTTTTCCCAGGGTTGAAGTTTCAATTACAAGGGAGCACAGGTTCAAGATCAGAGGGGGAAAGTTTAAGGGAGATGTGCGAGGGAAGTTTTTCATGCACAGAGTGGTAGCAGCCTGGAATGCACTACCAGAAGAGGTGGTGGAAGCAGGCACATTAAAGACATTTAAGAGGCTCTTAGAGGGGCACATGAATAGGGCGGGAATAGAGGGTTTCGGATTGAAAAATGGCAGGTTTGTTTTTAGATTAATGAGGGCATGATGGTTGGCAGAGGCTTACAGGCTTAGAGGGCCGAACGGCCTTTTCCTGTGCTGTACTTTTCCATTTGTTCATTTGCTCATTTGTTCAAATTGAGGCTCCTAATTCATCACTTAATGGGCCCTAAATGCTGTTCAGTCTAGAAGATCTCATAGATATTGTCATTAG